GGACAGTTTTTCCAAAAAAAAAAGGAATCTGAGGTTAAGTGGCTTTCGTCCACTGATGTCGCACCTTCGGATCGATTAGAAACGTGTGAATACTTACACTATGACTATACGTTTCACTGCAACTGCCCACAACACAACAACTAAAAACTCTCTCTCAAAAAAAAAGAAAATAGACAAAAAAAGAAGAAAAACGCCGACTGAAAAATGTATATCGTTTTAAAGTATACTGAATGACCAGTGTTATTACAGCTCAGGGGTATGACTTCCTCTCACATTTTGGCATTTGGTGGCGCACTTTCGGCGAAAGTCGGAAATCCGGAAACAGTCGACCGTTTCAGGATAGGTGGGCGTGACTACAACACGAGAAATATCCCAAATTTACTTGGATACGAGTAATCATTTTCAGCAAAAAAATCAATATCTGCCCATTTCAGTGGGACACAGATCTAAAATGGGAAACGTGAGGGTGGGCATTGCACAGGCACTTTAAGGAACATGTTTGGTTTCATCATACATGTCATTGTATAATCACGGATACTCTCCTATATCAGCAGTGTAGAGTTATGGGACAGTCAACTTCTTCTAATATTCAAATTTATATCTTGTCCACAATGGCTAGAACAGGTCTATTTGTCTATATATGTTTTTCCAAAGTTGATTAGTTTCATTCTCATCCATAGTTCAGGTGGTGAACTCAATGAACCCTGGTTTTGGCCTATGTATGGGTGAAATACTCTACAGTAACTATGTTTCACTGAGAATCTTGAATTCAAAAGCTATCACAATTCCTGGCAATAAGCCATCTTTTTTTTCATTTGTTTGAATCTTGTTAGTATTGAACAGACTATTGTTTTGAATATCAGTACTGAAGTCTCCTTTGTGTTGGGATTATTGTATGCGAATATTTTAAAGGTCTGTTTCATTTCCCTTATGAAATATGAAACAAATAGACTTTTAAATGTTAATATCAATGACAAAGAACAAATCCAAAGTGCACACATCACAGGCAATATGAATTGCTTCTTTTCCACATGTCTCATAATGGCCTTCAATGCATCACCTGCTGAAATTCTGCCGAATTCGTTGTTTCTTCATGGAAAAATCTCTTGCCTACGAATACCTAATTACATGAAGAACATAGAACACTTTCTTGGGGTATTTGAAACCAAAATTGTCATCTAACTCTAACTGTAAAGTCATCCCTGATTGGCTGCTAAGACGAAATGACAATTTTTGCTTTCAAATACCCCAAGGAAATGTACAGCAATGGTCCAGCATCAACTTGCCCTTCACATGACCAGCCCCAGGGTTCTCCCCAGAAAAAATGTATAGCGCTGCAACTAATTTGCATATTAATTTGCATATCATTTACATACCTTTCCTTCATTAATTAACAGAACTCATTTACAATTATGAATATTAATGAGCTCGGTCACAGTGCAAATATTTTTTTTAATAGAATCAACACATTATGTTTCACAATTTAGAAGAGTTTGAAACATTCTCGAAATACAAATGCTGCAGACTAAAAACAAATAAATTATTGTTGCAATTTAATTGTCTATTGTAAAATGTTAAATGAAACGCATTCGAAACGTTAAGCAAGAAATATGTTCACGAATTTCATGATTTTATTTACTCCAAAAACATTCTCCTTCAAAAAATCGACAACGTAATTAATTGGCGTATTGTTGTAATTTATTATTCGTACCATCAACTTCGTTTAACTACCATCAATGTAAACGTTTACATTTACAGTAATGAACGAATAAATATAACTTCAAAACGATCATCAAAGTTACAACGTGACATAACTCACTTGGCGATGTTATACACCGGTTATACCAGTAATTCCTTGTACTCCGTCATGATGCCATGCAAAAAATGTTGCTTCTTTTTTTTTATATGAAATAAAAGTAAAATCCAACTTATTTTTATCGGGAGAGATTATTTTTGATCACTCGATCGCTTCGGTAAAAAAACAGACCCGCCATGATGTTTGTGAAACATTAGGATGTGTACTTTGACCTGATGGGTCAAGAACGCCATTAACCAATCAAAATGCCGTAGGGTAATGCCGGTAGAATCCGAAGTTTTCTGAATGGTAGTGATCATAAAAATTACATTGCGGAAATGTCGTAGCAGATGCGTTAAACTGCATGATGGTTTCCGAAAGAGGTGATTAGCAATTTTTAAAAGGTAAAATAGGTCTTGAAAGAAGAGCTTTTACATGATTCCCGATGATAACAGTTCAAATGTATTTTACCAAATCATGCAATAAACACGTTGTTTTTTTTCTTGAGTAGCGTGAACTGATCGTGAACTCCGCTTTGACCATGTTATATCGAGGTAGAATTGATTTTGAAAGAATTTTAGCTTTCAATCTAAAGACTGTGTCTATCGCAGAAAGTATTTTCTTACAAACAAAGAGGTGCTAATTTCACAAATTTGACTAACCACTACCTATCGTGGCACTAGGTCTACTGTGTAGAAATTATAATCCACAACTGGCAGGATGCATGTCAGTCGATACATAATAACAATCGGACAATAGTCCTGGTCGGAAGCGTTTCCGACCAGCGTGGCGAACTAATCTTTTGCACATCTGATATTGGCATGGCAAATATGAAATTAAGCTAAAAAGCCCTGGGGAGAACCCTGCAGCCCACCTGAAATAAAATGAAATGGCACATGTTTATCGATGCCATTTGTGTTTAATTGTTTTTAAAGATTATCATGTTTTCCAAACTTGTAAGGTAAAAACTTAAGTATTGCAATCGCAAACAGCTATAACAGAACATGTTACTGTGATTTATCAAAATACGAACATCCGAGAAAAAAACAAACCATATCACCAAAAAGTAAATGTACGTATCTATTTGCATAATAAACAAATGTTGAATGCTGTTTTCTAACTATTAAAGGGGCCAATCCGCTGACAACGCGTTGAGTAAGTTCAGTAAATCAAAAACAAAATGGCGCCCTTGAATAAATTCTCGGGGCAAACAAAGTCTTCCTACTTAATTCCTGGCAGTGCTTAAGAATTGATACTGCATTCTTACATGTCACCAGCATTGTAAACTACATTCCATATATATGCTTAAAAACAAAAATAATGGCACAATAATTTGAATGGCAATGAATCGGCGAAAGGCCATTTTTATTTTGAACGGAAAACGTGAATGCCTAAATATGATACATATATTGTATATAATATAATAAAACAAGCACAATAAACTGTTCTTTACTCGTCCAACTTACCACCCCAATTTTTCTAGTTCTATTTTCGGGCTCGTATTCAAGAGTTTGCGCACAATTGAAAACATTCTACAATGAAGATAGTGATGAAGCTTTTGAATTTGACTGTTTTCCTACTGATCCTAATAACTTTACACCATAAATTACACCATCATTTAATAATGTTTCATTCTAGACATTCACAACAATTAGATCTGTATATCTGTATTTAGGAATAGATTTAAGTTCTTTTACAGGATTCACTTGTGATTCACTTTACTGTTGTATGTTCTTGCAGTAAAACCAGAGTTACCAGAGAACTATCAGGAAAGGACATGGGGAAAACTAAAAGAAGCTGTACAAGCTATCCACAAGCACACATCTATCAAATACAGTTTAGAAGAACTTTATCAAGCTGTTGAAAATATGTGTTCACATAAGATGTCAGCATCATTATATGACAAATTAAAAATTGTGTGTGAAGAACATGTAAAGGCACAAATTTCACTGTTCATAGGATATCCTTTCATGTATGATGTGTACTTGCTATCAGGAAGTAAAGCACAGAGAATTTAATCAGTCCATCAATGTGTAGTGTACATCTTGTATAACATGCATTACCTGACCAACCTAACTGATTTGCTAGATCTAGAATTGACTTCAATGTCTGCTAAACGACAATACAGTTTTAGTATCTTATTTGCATTAATTTGTAATAATAAAAGCATAAAGAAGACACATCTACTCATCAATTGACCCTTACCTTCTAAAAACATTACTCGTGTCCTGTTCTTGGTAAAGGCGTGGTCATTTTTTCTTCAATATATTTGTTTTTCACTATATATGAATGCTGCATTAATTGCTTCCAAGTTAGTATTGCTTATTTCAACTTGTGTGCTCGTTGAGTTAGAATTTTCACTGTAGTTAAATATCCTTGACTGAACTATACTGATTCAACAGATAGTGTCTCTTATCTGAAAATATTAAATAATTGTTGGCTTGACCACTGCAGGCAAATGGTAAGTGCAAGTTTTGGAAATTTATTCTTTGTATCTTTCTCAAAATAAAAATGAACAAGAATGATGGTGGGTAAATAAATGTCTGTTCATCATCTTGAACTTAACATCAAAGTTATAGCAGTGGGTGGACCGCTAATCAGATTTGATGCTTTTATGATCTTCAGTTGGCTATTTTTAAAACATTAGGAAAAATTAGAATTTTTCATAAACCTGGATGATTTGATTTGTTGGTTTGTAGGTAATCATATAGATTATGTCAAAATTTTCAGTTACAAATGATTCCATTAAACACCTTTAAGTGAATATTTTTGTTATTTTTTGGGGTAGAAATATTTTTTACATCATTCCTGTATACAGTAATACCATATATTGGCAATATGCAAGAATCACGAGTGTAGATTCCAGCCTGTGGCTCTGGAATTTAATTTTAGTGCTCTGAGAACAAAATTATATTGAATATGTTTCCTTTTCTCCTGTTGACAGATAATGATACGTAGTATATTTTTATTTCTGGACCGTACATACGTGCTGCAGAATTCATTAATATCATCATTATGGTAAGTGCATGATTGTTTTCATCTTTCATCATCTCAGGTAATGCACTATGGCATTGTGTGTTTGTACAGATGAAGTATACTGAGATAAATCTCCATATAGAATAACATCACATTTTTGTTTTGGCAGGGACATGGGTCTGGAGTTATTTCGTCAGCATATTATCAGTCACAGAATTGTTGAAGCAAGAACAGTGGATGGATTACTGTTATTGATAGATCGGGAACGAAATGGTGAAGTTGTGGATCATAGTCTATTGAAAAGTTTATTACGAATGTTGTCAGATTTGCAGGTATTAATAGTTGTTAGCACTGTTGCTTATCTTTATTATACACAGTGCAAACTATGCTTTTTGTCATCATGATCTTTCTCCTGGAAATAAGAATATTGAAGGTACACGTTATGTGATAACATCAGAGACACTGGTACATTGTAATTATTCATCTACTGTAGCACTCTAGATACACTTTTATATGAATTTATTGCATGTAAACACAATATTGCAATTTGCAAGGAAAACACTAAAATCAAAGCATCTATCAATACATAGTGTATGTGTCCACATTCACATCAGTGTCCATGATGTCATTTGTTTTGTGAATGTGAGCGTTATTGACATGAACACAGACACGTATGAACATATAACGAGCTGTTTGTAGCAACTTCAATTCAGATTTTACATGCATATTTTCACAAAAATTTGCAAAGGTTTGCCTCTGTAGAAAAGTAATGTTTTATTTTATTACTGTTAGATCTATGAAGAAGCCTTTGAGTGTAAATTCCTTGATGCAACAGATAAACTATATGCAGCAGAGGGTCAACGACTAATGCAAGAAAGAGATGTAAGTGTTATTCTGTAAACATCTACTAGTAATGCATTGATAGATAATACAACTTTATAAAGTATTCTGTACATTGTTTTCATAGGTACCAGAATACCTTGCCCATTGTGACAGGAGATTAGAAGAAGAATCACAGAGAATATTACATTACTTAGATCACTCTACAAAGAAATCATTAATTGCTTGTGTAGAAAAGCAACTACTTGAAGTCCATGTTAACAGTATCATTCAGAAAGGTATTATTAATCTATATGCTTCAATTAAGCACCAAATCACTGCTTGGTGTAATATACTACTAGAATTGGTGGTTGATTCTGAACCTATGGTTAAGGAATTGTAAGCACACACATTGGCAGTGTAAATTCCAACCTGCTGAAGTTGAGTCACGTTTGATCTAAGAGTCATCATCATTTTTATAGTCCATCAGACTTGGTGGCAAAGAAGAATACAAAACCTTACTTTGTGACACAGATAGCTACCCAATTGCTGGCCATGATCCACATATAACCTTTTCATCACCAGTTCCCCTTTTAATCACAAATTCACAAAAAAGTCCTGTTTATAGTCTGCACTTTACTTCAGAAGATTTGGACAAAAATATTTGAGTAAAAACGAAAAATTTACACAAATTTGTCTATTGGCTCAAAAATTAGGGTTCATTTCCAGAAATATTGAGGAATATAAGAAAAGAAAGGCGAGAAAGTGTGATGGTGAAAAGATTAAGCAAATGGATGCTGAGAAAGTAAAAAACATTGATTTTAGGCTATATTTCTATGCGAAGCATGCAATGAGAGTATATTAATTGAACATATGCAGTTCTATCACACTTGCAGATTGTAATAATAGGTTCTACATAGTAATCTTGCTTGTTGTAATTTCCAGGATTAGATGTTCTTATTGATGAGAATCGAACAAAAGACTTGGCCTTGATGTGCAACTTATTTCAAAGAACAAAATCTGGTCTTCAAGAACTCTGTATGAATTTTGGAATATACATTAAGGTAATTGAATATAAAGTGGAAACCGAACACAGTGACTGCAAAATGCTATTACAATAAATGGTTGAGATACAGATTGTATAATCATTCATATTTGAATTGTTGATTGATACTGAATATGCTTTCTGTGCTTATAATTTTTTTTTTTTTTTTTAAATGTATGTTTTAGTATAAATAAGTAAAAATACACGTCGCTTAACTCAAATGGGTGAAAGGTATTTTTGGTGAAATAGTGCGTTGAGTTTTCATGGAAACTAATTTACTTATTACTTGTAATGTTTAACAGAAAACTGGTACATCTATAGTAATAAATCCAGAGAAAGATAAGACAATGGTACAAGAACTGCTAGACTTCAAGGATAAAATGGATTATATTCTCAACCATTGTTTTGCTAAGAATGATAAATTTGTTAATATAGTAAAAGAAGCATTTGAGACATTCATCAATAAAAGAGTGAATAAACCAGCAGAGCTTGTAGGTAAGTCTGGTTGACATGATGAGCATTATAAATGAAGAAAGTCATCATTAGACAAGAATTTGGAACTATGTTGTGATGATCTGTAATAATTTAACTTTCAATATATACATTTGTATGTGTTTTGAATGGATCATGTGGTTTGTCAGAGAAATGGAATGCTAGTAAATCATATTTGGACTTAACTCACCTTTGGAGCTGGATTTTATTTCATGAAAGATTCATTGAAGCATAAAGGGGACTATATCTTGCATTTGAATATAGATTTTAGACTGGCCAAATATTCTTTCTGATAAATTAGGGAGGAAATAACCCATTGGCTAACAACCATATGATTTAATGACCATGAGAGCTGCTAAGCAAATTATTGTTATGAGACCTTAGCAGCAAGTTGGCAGTATTATATTAGTGGCAACATTTGTTTGAGTACTTTGCACCAAAAAACAAATGTTAACAGTGTTCATGGGCCAATCTTGATCAAAACATTTTGACAAATTTGATTTACTACTGTAACAATATATTACACATTCAAAGTGTTCAAAATGTGCTCTCATGAAGTGTCAATGTGAGCAAGAGTCGTCTAAATTCTAAACAAAGATTGTAGTGTGCATCAGAGAACAAACATAATAGGAAAGTTTTCATACTGAATTTTACTAAAGATTCTGTGGTAATAGCATAATTGTTGCATTTGGTAAATGTCAACATACTATTTCATACGTCATTGGCAGGACTTTGAATAAATTATCGGCAACCTGATTGCAAATGTATCCTGTTTATTGGTGGTGCATTTCCATTTGTGTAATTTGACTTTTCATAAAACAAAATCTCCACACATGGCAATTTGATATTATACTGCTGGTAATATATTAATAGCCACTTTTATCCAATTCAGAATAAACGACCTATAAGCTGGCGAAAAACAATTGATGCAAAACTGAAAAGAAACTGAGCTCTATTATGCCTGTTCATCACAAACATTACACAGGCTTGTAAAGTTGTAACCCATCTGTATGTATTTGTCAATGGATTATGCTATAAAAATAATTAGTAATTGCCCTCTTTATGTTTGGTGTGCAGTATTGGAGGGATTTCAGTGTAGTGTTTGGTAGCAATTATGATGAGTAATCTGTCTTTTACAGCTAAGTATGTTGATAATATAATGAGAGCTGGAAATAAAGAAGCTACTGAGGAAGAATTAGAAAAAATGTTGGATAAAGTGATGGTAATATTCAGGTTTATACACGGTAAGTATCGTTGGCTATATTCGCAATATAATATGTATCTCATGCCATCAGAGTATATTTTCTGAATCAGAGATATACCGGTAGCGCCATAGGATTTAAACAACATAAGTTGACAGATTTTGTTTAAATTTTCAGATTAGGGTGTCTGCTAATTTCTATTCATATGATCTGTCTTCTGCATTAGTGATGTTTTTATTTGTTGTCATAATGTAAAATCTACAATAAGTTTTTCACTTTGTAGGCAAAGATGTCTTTGAAGCGTTTTATAAAAAGGACTTGGCAAAAAGGTTATTAGTTGGAAAGAGTGCTTCAGTGGATGCAGAAAAATCT